ATACTACAAAGGGAGCCATGGTCCTGCCATGGGAGCCACATCCGTGTCAACCCTGGTGGAGCTGTCTCCTGCCAGCAAAGACCAGAGTGTGTTGAAGTCAGCTCTCTGACCTCTGCCGGACTTGGGACTCAGAATGACCAATCTGGACATGTGGGGATCAGGAAGCTGGAAACCTACACTGCTCGAGTCATGTGTCCAGACCCTATGTGAAAGTTAACTGTGGGTGTTCAAATGCCAGGCATCAAGCCTCCTTGGTGGGGTAAATGGCAGCCTCTGCAGATTTGGGCCATGGCTACACAGAGGATGAAGCTCTCCCACACACACTCACTGGTCCTGCAGATATTTGTTCTACAGACTGCATTCACTGACATTTACAGAAGCAGGATGGAAGACAGCTCTCAAACTGCTCTGCAGGAGGCCCAGCACTCCTGGGGTCTCATCTAACAGATGTTAACTGAGCACCTACTGAGTGCCATGCAGTGTTGTAAGTGCTAAGATATAGCCATAAACAACACAGTTCCTGCATGTGTGTGTTTCACTTGGTCACCAGACAAAAATGCATAAGTAGTCTATGCTGTGGTCTGAATGTGTCCCCAAAGTCCTCTGCTGAAAGGTAACCCCAGTCAGCATTGAGAGCAGGAAGCTGTTATTGGCAGCTGATGTCACAGGAGTGGGTCAACTATCACAGGAGCGGGTAGTTATCCCAGGAGTGGTCAGTATCTCAGGGTAGATAGTTATCTCAGAAGCGAGAAGTGGGCTCCTGGTAACAGGATGAGTTTGGCCCCCTCCCTCAGTCCTCCACCTCCTGCATGGGATGTCATAGTGAGAAAGCCTCATGTGGCACATGATCTTGCATTGCCAGCCTTCATAATGATGAGAAATGAATTCTGTTCTTTATAAATTGCCCAGTTCATGATATTCTATTAAAGGAACACAAAACAGACTAAGACAGATACATAGTAGATTTGGCACCCAAATACTAAGGAAAATACAAACAGGGTAGTGGTGGTGGTGAAGGCAGAGAGAGTGGGAGTTTTAATAGATTTCCAGCCCAGCCCTGAGAAAATGGGAGACCATGGAAGGTCCCACAGAGCCCAGGGCAGAGGGATGCTCAGGGCAGGTTCTGGGCTCCCATCTACTTCAGCATCGTCACCTTGTTTATGTCTATTCCAAACCCTGGTGCTCTAGGTCAGGATTTATAAAGGCGGCTCACTGTTAAAAAGGAAAAGAAGTCTGTGGCTGAGAAGAGAACTTGGAGTGAGATGGTGCTCTGCTCCTTCCTAGCGAGACAGTGTTGCAGCCCCAGGGCTCCTGCAGCCTAGGGACCTGTAGCCTTTACACACTGGGCTACACCACCCAGCGCTCTGTACAAGGCCCCAAGAATAAGCACTTGGTGCAATGTTTGATCCTAGGGGCCAGACAGGCAGATTCCCTATGGGCAGACAAATGGGTCCCATCCTGTCCCTGTGTCAGACTGTATTGAAGTAAACACTGACTCGAGACCTGCTATCAAAGAACTCATGGCCAATTCTCAAGGTGAGATAAGAACGTGCATCACTGTGAAGGTGGCAGCAGGCCTGGTGGAACAGTGTGGTCAGCTGGGCAGCAGCAGAAGAGCTGAGAAGGCATGGGTGACTGTTGTCAGCCAATGCTTTCCAGGGGCCAGTTTGTCTGTAGGAGAGAGTCTTTACAGGTACCATGGGCCAGCATATTAGACAGAGGACCAGAAGCAACAAGAGAAGGGAATGATGACACAGAGAGAGAATAGCCCACACTCAGAGACCAGGGTGAGGCTACATCCTCCAGGCTCTCAACTCACCCATGGCGTGGCAAACCAATGGACGGAAGGGGAAAGTCTGGAAACTGCCCAGGTGACCAGTGACCTCAGGGAGTGGAAGGGGTGGAGGGAAGATGTTGGGTGAGAGCTCAAAGCACCCATATTTTAGGGACAGGGAGAGGAAAAGGAGCCTATGCAGGGAAGAAAGAGCATGGGGACCCTAGAGAGGACAGCAGCAGCTCAGGGAGGCCTAGCATGCCAGGGGCACTAGAGGGGATGCCCAGGGACCTGCCACACAGCCAGATCTGGTGGGGATGGGGGACAGCAGCAGCACTGAGAGAGGGGCAGTGAATATGCAGTAAGACTGGGCTGCTCCTGCATGTGGATAGCGGCCACTCTGAGGGCCCTGGAATGAGCAAGGCAATAGGCAAGTGCAAATGGGTGAGGCTATAAACAGGAGGGAAAGTGATGGGAGACACTGGCTGTAGCTGGACTAGGGACTGCCGGCCTAACACCTGTGATAAATCTCAGGGGCTCGGAAGAGACGCCGGGGCAGATTACATAAGGAGGCAAAGAATGCCAGGCACAGGGGCCATGGCACCCCACGCATCCACAGAACCAGCATCAGTCCTGGAAATAGCTAGTCTTCCAGAGTATGAAGACACTGAGATGTGTGCTGCCTGCCTGGGGCTCATGCCAGACACTGCCCTTCACTGGTCTCACCCCTCTGAGTGCTCCCCACCTCTGGGACCTGGCCCACTGCCTGTTAAGGGTTTGTGTTCATTTGTATATGACTGTCCCATCCCGTAACATTTATTCTACAACCAACCACAACTTCACACTAACCACGACAACCCAGTCACTGTGCAATGGAGCATGGTTCCTCCTGATGGGCCACCTTGCTGAGGGGAAGGAGAGGACTTTATGAGAACTGACTGCCAAGGCTTCATTTCTTTCCCCAGCAACAATGTTGCCCCTCGAGTGGGGATGAGCAGGACAGTCAGGGGAGCCAGATCTAAACAAAATAACAGCAAAGAAAGGAGTGCCAGGTGTGGGGATGCTAGGGTAGGCACTGGGGATATGGAAGCCCCAGAGAACAAATGATAAGGACAGGACACACCTTTCTCCTGGAACTTTCATCTTGGTCCTTGGCATCAGGCAGTTTCTGTAGACACATAAGTGGGGGGAGGGGGGACAATAAAGGTGCAGAGATGAGTCAAGCAGCTGCAGAGAGGTTTTGAGGGAGTGATCCCCTAGCTAGGAGAGTGGTGGGGGCCCAATGGGGTGGCCTGACTGCTGCCTATCCTCCTGGTGTCCCTCGTGGACTGCCGTGCAGAATACCCAAGGTGGCGCCCGTAGAGGATACCCCAGGCAAGTCCCCCATGTGGGGCCTTCCTGATTCCCAATACCCCCCCCACACACACACAAACAGCCATTCCCGGCCTGGACAAGTGACTCCAGCACAGGCATTACAGTTGGCAAGTCTGGGCTGCACATGCCTGCTGTGCTTCTATCCCTGTAAACCCCCAGGGGATCTTGCCCATGGCGTTACTGGATTGTCGTCAAGCTACACAAGGACCACAGCTGTGTCTCCATGCTCAGCCTCTTGATGTGGGATGGAGCACTAAGTGGACCTGTGAAAAGGTGCAAGTGGTTTGGAGCCACAGGTCTGGAGTCTCTTGGAAGGCTGCCTTGCCTGGGCTGAGCTGCTACCCTGGGTCTTCCCTTAACAGAACAGGAACGAGTCTATCACCTCTTCTCAGTGCCTCCTGGAAGCCTGTTTCCTCTTTCCCGAGAAAGGTTCAGTTCACGTGGAAGTGACTGTGGGGAGCTGACCACTTCCAGGATGGGATTCTGCAGCAATGCGCAATGGGCGGACAGAGACCACCAGGCCCTCCTCCAAGGCCAAATTCATCTGCTGTGCCCAGCACTGTCTATAGCCCCACAGCGCCACTGACAGGACACCCAAGGAACTGCACATCTGCAGTTCCTACCCACATTACACAGGGAAGAGGGATGCCCAAGCTCTAGGCCCAGGGGTCTCCAGGACAGCCCTTCCACTGGAGTACTGCCTCACACAGATCAGGTTTAGTTGCTGCTGTTATGGTCTGTCCTTCAAAGGTTGCCCACTCGTCCCAACATATCATTTCTAAAGGGATAAGAGAAAACCTTCCCCAGCCTCTCTGGGACATTCCCACAGGGAATTCAGTGCCATGCAGGGCAAAAAGTAGGACACTAGCCCACCTGGATCCATCCCTGACTCCTGGAGCTATATGTGCCATGGAAATGAAGGACAAGTTTCCTGCAGGCAAAGCAGGGCTGTTTCCTCTGCAGTGGGCCAGTGCAGGAAATAAAATCAGACTGTGGCATGAGGTACGGGCTGTTTGTCTTAGGTAGTTAAAAGATCCATCATACACTGTCTGCTCCAACCACATGTAACTAGAAAGGGCTGGGAGGCTTAAGAAGGATCTTCCAAATCATATTTTTAAAAAAAGTATGGGGACTGTGTGTAGCTCAGTGGTACAGCACTTGCCTAACCTGTGTGTATGTGAGGCTGTGGGTTCAAACCACAGCACTAAAAAAAAAATTTAAGTCTTCATGGAAAGGTAAGAAGGGTTGGAGGCGGGGAAGGGAAAGGGGACAAAAAAAAAAGAATTAAGATGTGTTACATAAAAAAAGAAAAAAAAAAATGTGTTACGTACATGTACAAATCCCCTACAAGGAATGGGATCATTACGGACTCTGAACATGTACTAATAAAAGACTGAAAAAGGGATATCAAGAACTCCAACATAAATCCCACAAAGACACTAAATGAGAAAAGGCCAATATCTCAAATGAGAAATAGATAATACATAATTTACATAATAAAATGGTGAATCTAAAAAACGTAATCATTTAATAAAACTAAAGAAATTCAGAACAAAATGGCATCTCTCACCTATCAAACAAACAAAACAAAAATCAATGTTGAAGCTGACTCACTGGGGGAAAATAAATTAATGCACTTTCTAGAGAGCAACTGGCAGTATTTATATTAAGTTATTAAAACAGATTCAGTTTTCTGACAATATAATTCATGGGAATTAATCTTAGGGAAACAATTTAGCTATAGGCATCAGCTATAAAAGGGAATTGGGGAAGATCTCAATGTCTAACCATAGGGTACTTACTAAAGCAAACAGTTCTGTCTACCCAGAGGACTACTGTGCAGCATTAAAAATATATACCAAGTGTCTTTATTGACCCAAAGATGTTGTTGATATACTGTATTACACAGGAAAATGTGAGATAACTTTAAAAATGCATCTTGATCAATTCAGCTCATTATGCATACATACACCATACATCAACATACCTGCACAGCAAATGATCCAAAACAAGACACTCGGAGTGACAGCAAAGGTCATCTGAGAAGGGGACAACATGAGCAGTTTTTGAAAGTTTTCCCTTTTATTTTTATTTTCTTAGGTTGCTACAGTGAAAATATATTGCTTAGGTGGTAAGATTAAATAATTAAAATGATTTCTTCAACTGAAGAGAAAAAAATTCCAAAATAAGCTTCACAGACTGAAGCAGGAAGAGCAGGCAGGAGCACAGGCACCTCTGCTAGGAGGATCCACCTGACCTAGAGCTAGGCAGCTATCCCCAGTGCCATCAGAGGATCTCACAGTAAAGGCAAAAAAGTGGCATCTTGAGAATGCCTCCCATGCTACTTGAGAATTTAAAGGTCAGATGTATTTAAATAGCATTTAATTGCAGACTGGAAGCAAAATGCCAAATTCTCTATCATTCCTGGCCAGGAGAGGGGAAAAGCAACACCAACCCAGGCCAAGAGCTCTGCAGGGCATGGTTATAAGAGCTAACAATTCCCATTCCAGGGCCCAGTTTCAGAATTCTAATATATAATTACTTATAAAAAGATATACTAGGGCTAGGAGTGTAGCTCAAGCGGTAAAACACATGCTTAGCAGGCACAAGAACCTTGGACAAATCCCTAGCACCATAAAAAACAAATGATTATAAAAAAGATGTATTAAAAAATAGTGAGGAGAACAAGCTATAAAAATATTCAAGCCCCAAAAGGCTTTTCACATGTCAGCTCTGCGCATCAGAGCATCTGAGGTCTTCTCCCTCCAAGGCTCTCAGACCAATGCGCCAAAGTCTTGGCAAAGGGGCCCTGAGGTGTTTCTACGGCCTGGCTAGGTGCTGTCTTCCCTCTTAGCCTGCTCAGCCTTGTGGTATGTTGGGTAGATGCTGTTTAACTCCTCATTGGCAATGCTCCCAGCTAGGCAGTGTATCTTTTCTCTCCTTCCTGCTTGGCCTTGTGGTACTTGAGGTAGTCACTGTGCAGCTCCTTAAAGACGTCTCTAGCTCCGGGCTGCAGTGAGGCCCGCAGGAACTGGATATCAGACTCAGTGCACAGATCCAGGATGAGGTAAATGCCCTCCTGCAGCAAGTCTCTCACAGCTGGGTACAGGGTCACCTGGGAAAGAAGGCAGAACCCTGTGAGAACAAGCTGGGGCAGACTGAATGGCATGCCTTGCGTAGAAGGCCAATAGCATGAAGACAGTATGACCACTCCGAATCTCCTGGTTTCAGGTGCTTATTTCTAAGACAAGAAAAGGTCTATTCCCACAACACAAAGATCACTGGCCAATGAATAAAAACACCTGGAAGCACCTTAAAATCTCCTTGGACAGATGAGCAATATAAACTACTTTCCTTAAAGTAGTAATAAATCCGAAATTTGACCTGGGGGGTCAAAGAGATGACTTCACACATTTCCACTGGGACTCATCACCAGTGGAAGGGCTCCTGGACTTCAGCTGATCCCAACTGACACTATTACATCACCTCCCACCAATATTCGTTCTCAGAAGCACAGGGGATGCAGGCGGGATCTACTTAGCAGCCCTTGCTACCTAGCATTTAATTAAACCTGAACATGCTGGTCTGGAAAGATTTATGGTTCTCTCAGTAGATGTTTCTAATGCATCTTGGAGTATTTTCTTCATTCCTGAATTTAAAAACGAAAGATAAGACATAAAACTCTGTTGCCAATAAATTCTGGGATGCTACAGCCTTAGATAATTCTCAAGGCCTTTGGCTTTCAGGATTAAACATAATAATGTAAAAGATAAGCATAAATTAGACTTGAATAATGAGGCTAGGCAACAAGACTGTTCACAAAGTAAATCTCAGAACAATAGTGACTTAAAGCTTGCAATTATTGCTTCACTTTTTGGCCCTTAGCAAAGTGATCTTACTATGTTTCTTTAGTAAGAAAGTAACACTAGCTTTTCTTTCATCAAATGCTTACATAGTAATAAATCAAGTGCTTGGGAAATGTCAAGATTTTATAAAAACACAGCTGGGCCTGGTGGGGTATGCCGGTAATCACAGCACTTGGGAGGCAGAGACAGGAGGATCACTGTGAGCAGCTTGGGGAACATAGTGAGATCAAATCAGTCTGCAGTGCAAAGTGAGACCTTGTCTCAACAGAACAAGAGTCTATAAAAATGCTGAACAAATGCAAGGAAACCAAACTCCAAGTCCACATGTCATCCAGTGGACAATTTGAAGGGTCTTGTGCTCCCTGTCTCTCACCGCTGTGGCAGTTGATAACCCAGCTGTGCACTTATATGTCCAGGCTATTTATTCCCTGCATGGCCAGTCACACACCCAAGACAGATGACTCCACTGGCAAGGTCAGCAGGGCCAGTGGGCTGGAAAAGTAGTCCGCAGTTACAGTATAGCCTAAAACAGGGAGGGGGTGTTCTGAGGAAGTTCATTTAGCCAAATGTCCCTAGAGAAAGGCACCTCTACCCAGATAGGCTCACTAGAGGCCTCACCACTATGTCTACCAGGATTATAGCAGGAGAAAGGCTCTTTCACAGATAAGCAGAAAATATCAACAGACACATGCAAACACACTGTCTACCCGTGGTTCCTCTCTGAACACACTCAGTCTTCCACACTGATGTTCACATTAAACAAAGTCAAGGTTCGGGGGCTGGGGATTTAGCTCAGCGGCAAAGCGCCTGCCTGGCAAGCGCAAGGTCGTGAGTTCGGTTCCTGGTACCGGAGAAAAACCAAAAAAAAAAAAAAAAAAAACAAAGTCAAGGTTCATATAGTTCAAATGTTGAGCCCTAGAGCAGCACCAGTGGCTTACAAAATTTTGAAAATAGGCATGGACATCCCAAAGTGAGAAAACTCTTAAATGAATTTATAACCCACGTTTTCAAGACAAAAAGCTAGAGTAATTCGGACAAAATTCAATGTGCACAAGTCACCCACGTCTCCACTTGCCTCCTGCTTTGAGTATGTGAAAGCCACTGAGTTTCAAGAACAATAGTGCTCCATGTGCTCCTACTTGCAAGGGGACCCAGACCAAAACCCAGGTCCCTTTTGTGCCTCCATTAGCCTGGTCCAGGAGACCTCTTGTTCTTGGCCCTGAATGACATATTACCTCCCCAGAAGATTATTAATGAGAGGAGCTGGTTCTGGAGTCAGAGAAAACTAAGAAATCCTGAGCTCCTCATTCATGGGGCTCTGCTTTGCACAGCCTCCCTCAGTCCTGACCACAGCCCCATAGACACTGTTCCCACACTGTGCCAAGCGCAGGAGTGAGGGCTATAGGTCTGAGGTTGCTTGCCATTTTGATGCAAAGCCATGCTCAAAGCCTGACAGAAAACCCTGGATTGTACCTTCTGTGCCTCCGTTACATACTGGGCCACCATAAATGGAGAAAACACAGCAAACTCCTCAGCTCGTGCAGTGATGTGACTGTACATCCTCTCCACCAGGCGTGCACATTCAAGGACCACTGGCAGGTCATCCGTGCTCCCTGCAGAGGGCAAAGGTTCCCAAATGGTTAGCTCACAAACACTGCAGTGTCCCTCTCATCTTACACCTGTAATGTAATTAGACACTTAAGCCTTCCACTTTTCCTAGACCCTTAATTGTTTTGTAGACAAAATGAGAAAAACATCATGTCCAGATATTTGCCTACATAGAAAAGGGAAGAACACTTAAAGTACTCAAGAGTCAATAAGACTTAGGGGTCCAACTAGAAAAATCAAGATTTTCAGGATAAAAAAATCTAGTGGTACTACTGGGTTTTTAGTTGTTATTGCTTGTTTTTACAGTGCTGAGGATGCAATATGGTACATGCTAAGCAAGTCCTGCTATTTTATCTTAAAAGAAGATGGTTTTCTTTAAAAAAAAAAAAAAAAAACGAGAGACAGACAAGATTTCTATAAGGCAGCTTAAAATGGAAAATTACTTAAAAGGAAAACAATGGTTTGGTTCAGTTCAGGTCTCGCTATACAGTTCAGGCTGGCCTTGAGCTCACCATGTAGCCTAGGCTGACCTCAAACTCACAGCAATCCTCCTGCTTCAGCCTCCCAAGTGCTGGGATTACAAGAGTCCACCAACACATCTGGCTAAAAATGGTTTACTGACATCAGTTAAGACACTCAAATTATGTCTGTCTTAGAAAATTTCAGAAAGGGGGCCTGGAGATTTAGCTCAGCGGCCCAGTGCCCGACTGGCAAGCGCAAGGTCATGAGTTTGATTCCCGGTACCGAAAAAAAAAAAAAAAAAAAAAAAAGAAAGAAAGAAAGGAAATTTCAGAAAGGATTTGTGAGGGGCCTCCTAAGAACTTGGAGAGCTTGACCTCAGATGGGAGAGCTGGGGACTCCTGCCCAGGCCAAAGTGTCTTCTCTCCTTCACTCAGCACCGCGGCAGGGCCACTTTTGTTAGTCTAGAAGACACAAGCAAACCCAGTGATGAAAAGGCTAGGGCTGCCTAGGGTTGGGCCCAAGGAGTGAACAGACTGCAAAGAGGCCAGGGGATCTCATGACAGAAATGTCCTGTGCTACAACTGTAGTGTTGCTTCACATGTGCTCTTAGCTGCCAGAAATCATTAAACTGTATACTCTACACATTAAACTGTATACTCCCAACAGGCATCACTTGCTATACCTATGTTATACTTAAGTAAATCTCATGATATTTGAGAAATGCTACATTTTTAGCAGACCTTCATGGATGTAGTTGTCCTACATCAGTGCAATCTCTATGACACAGTGTGAGTGGTTAACACCTGTGAAGCATTTTGAAGGCCACTCCCTGCCATGAAGGAATGCACTTCCTTGTCTAAGGCATGCTGTTCCTTCTCTTCTCAGGCCACTCAACATCCACCCTGTTCACAAATGAGTAACCAGCACTAGCTCCTGTAGCCACCAACTTCACATATAATCATTAAAATATATCATTTTAAAATATATAATCATTGTTGGCATTAGATGCCAAAAAAAAGGGAATAAGTTAAAAAAATAAACAAAGAACAAAACAGTGGAAAGTCCTGCTAGTGAGTCCACCAGAGTAGTCTTGGCAGACAGAAATGACCAGGCAGGTCAAATAAGCACAGCACAGGGAAATAGGGCCTCAGGACAGATGACAGGGGACAAGCCTGAGGCAGCACATAGCGAGGCACCTCCCACTGCTCAGTAAGGCTGAAGCTGGACCTGTCCACTTCCTGTCCAGGTTGATAGGTCTGTCAGAACCATGTTCTTCAGGTTGGGTGAGATCAAAGACCTCAACAAGGGTGAGATCAAAGACCTCAACCAGGCTAAGGCTGGCCCAAGAGAGAGGACTTATTTCGCAGACTTGGTCCTCATCAGATGCACACTGAGTCAACACACGCTGGGTTAACACATGCTGAAAGTACTGAGTCAACACATGTTCTCGCCATGACTGGGAGAAGGCAACACATGTCACTGTGCCACTGCCTGGTCCCCAGCCAGGCAGAGTAACTGGGGAACTGCAGTCCATGCTCACAGGTCTCTCCTTGCTTTTGCCAAGATGCCTGGTTAAACGAATCATGCCAGTCCCACAGCAAAAAGCACAGGACAGGAAGAAGTGCAGGCTGACTCATATATTCCTGGTCATGCTGACTGCTATCAGAAGTCTTCTCTGACACACTCCAAGTCAACTCACAACTTCATCTGTGAGCCCACAGTATCCCACAGGCAACTTGCCCTCATGCTTGGCACATGAGTGGCACAACATAATTACGAAAGTGAGCAATGGAGAAGTCTCACTTTCATATAACATGCTTAAATAATGAGAATCTTAAAAATTAAAAACACAGGGGACTGGGGATTTAGCTCAGCAGCACAGCGCCTGCCTGGCAAGTGCAAGGTCGTGAGTTTGATTCCCAGTACCAGGGGAAAAAAACAAAACAAAACAAAAAAAATTTAAAACACAGCAAGAGTCACCAGACTTCAAAGCAGAACTGTTCATGTACACAGTAATCTGCTTCTGCCAAATGGCAATCTGTGTGTGTCTCTGGTAAACAAATACAACTCTCCCAAGGTTATGACCTTGCTGATAACAAGGTACAGGGTCATATCCTCTGTAAAATGAAAAGCTCTGTAATACCTCTTCCTTTTGTCCCCTACTAATCTACAAACTTGTTAAAGGTGAGAATATGGTTATAGTCATCTTTATATCGCTATATATACTATGCTCAACAAAAACTCCCTAAATCTTGACTTTTTTTCCCCAAAAAGGTTTAAATTAGAGATGTCAAATGCAGCCACTATTTCAGATATAGTAAAATATGACAGTTTGAAATTTTTTGAAAAATGATCTTCAGTATTCATTTGATGTGAACATTTTTCTTATGTTAACTGATTAGCTTTATCTTCATTGATATTTGTGACATATTCAAAGACACTGCATGATCAACACATTCAAACTGTGCATCTGATAGTGTGACTCTGCCTTACCTTTGTCCTTCTGCCGACCTTCATGCATCACAGAAAATACCAGTCTATTGAAACAGTTCACAAAAGATGGAATGGCCTTCAGCATCACCTGAAAGAAGTAACAAATAAAAAGTATAAAAGTCTGCAAGCAATGTTCAAGTTGGTCTGCTTGTTTCCTTCTTCACCTTGCCCATCAGGACACTCAGAACAGGCGTGCTCATGGCTGGCTCCCCTCACCTCCTTCTCGGGTGACTGCTCACCCACCCTGCACTGGCTCATTAACTTTTGCTTTAAAAATCTGAACCTAGGGACACCGATGGTGAACCTTTTAGAGCTTTCAATGACACGAACAGTCTGCTGCAGCACATGTGCCAAGGGTTCACCACCACTGGGCTAGGGTTCTACACCGTACAATTTCCAGAATCTTCGAGGAAAACCCTGCTTTAGGACTGGATGAACCTGTGCTTTCCTCTAAGCTGGTTCTAATTCATCCTGGAAGTGTACAGAAACAAATCATAAAGTAATGATACTAACCAACTTAGGCAAGCAGAATTGGCATTAGAAAGATTACCAAACAAATTCACTTCAATTGGGGTCATCATCTCAATACTGACAAAAAACTTCACTTAGGACTTCGTCTTTAAAACTAAGACTAAAATGACAAAACATGCTTCTTTAGTACTCAATTACCTCAAGTCAGGTTGAAACCACACACTGTCAAACTGAGCAGTCATGCCATGTCACTACTTCAGTTTAAACTAGTTAAGACTTTAAGACCAGGTATAGTGGCACATGCCTATTCAGGAAGCTGAGGCAGGAGGATCACTGTGAGTTCGAGGCCAGACTGGGCTACAAAGTGAGCTCAGGGCCAGCCTGAACTGCCTAGTGAAGTCCTGTCTTGAAAAGACAGAAAATAAAAATAAAAGAAGTTTCAATAGTCAGTCTGTAGTCCTCCTGGCAAAACCTCAAGTGTGCAGGCAATGAGGTCAGTGGTCATTGGACTGGACAATGCAGAGAGCACTGCACATCCTACAGCCTAGTGCTCTCAGAATGAACAAATAGCTATCAAGTGTTAGTTTCTCCTTGCCCCTCTCTGTGGTGCTAGGGCTCAAAGTCATGCATTCTAGGCAAGCCCTCTACCACAGAGTTACATCTCAGTAAGTGTTGGAACGGTTCTCGTTGGTATAATTAATTCAAAACAATTCTTGATATCACGCCACATCCTTCACGTCAAATTACTGACTTTCTGCAGCATGTTTAGAAAGTGGTTATTTTTATAAAAGTCTCTTTTACAGAGACTCATCACACATTCCCCAAAACCTCTCATAATCCTTTACTTCTGTACTGATGAAAATTGAATAAATCTGGGGCCAGACTTCTTAGTGATTCTTTGAGACTTGGACAAATCATCTAGCTTTGGTGTGTGCTTGTCTCAGTCTTCTCATCTGCAAATTGAGGATAACAAAAGGTCATCATGAAGACTAAGTTAAAACACGTGACATGCTCAACACAGCACCAGCTGCTGATCATCCTGCGAGGCATCCAGCGGCACCAGCCGCCTCATCTGTCCTCCAGGAATGCCTAAGAGGCTAGCAGATGTCCGTGTCAACTTGGCCCTAACGCTGCTGTCTGCATAATGGGCCTCTTTAAGTGTTAGTACACAAACACCAAAGTATCAAACCCAGTTGAAAAGAACTTAAAATGGCTGAGCATTTTGTGCTTAAGAAACCACTTTGGTCCTGGAAATTATTGGAACAAAAAAGTCTAGTCAACAAGTCATAATTTTTATTTTCCTCTAATAGTAAAGCATTGGCACTGCTATCGTGAAGGCTGAGGCATCCCTCTCGGAAGCTCTTTCCCCTTACCTTGGGATGGCACTGCAGTACTGAGAAGAGCAGGTTGTGCATCCTAGAGAAGACGCTCCCATACTCTAGTGGCTTCAGGTGGTCCAGGGGGACGGTCAGCAGGATGCTGAAGGCCAGGCTGACGTGGTGGGGATTGCTGATGGCATCCTCTCCCTGCCGCAACAGAGCAGCCAGGACATCGAGAATAGGTATGACCCGTGCAAGCGCCACAGGCTGCTCCTCACAAGCCTCTCGGTTCTGCAGCTACAGGGCAAGGTGGGCAAAGAAAGAGAATGAAGAGGATTCTCAGAGTGAAAACACAGCACTGAGCACAGGGTGTCAGAGACAAGACTGTCCCTGCTCCAAATGAACTGCTGTGGCCCAAGGACAGGGTGAAGAGACAGCAGATCAGCGACCAAACCCCACTGTGGACTTGGCCACTTCAGCCACATTTTTTTTGTTGGAGTCTTCAGTCATGAAGAGAAGCAATTTTCTACAAACAACCTGACACAGCCATTTTCTCACAAGAAAACTGCACATCAGATGTACACAATAGTATTTTCCCAAAAAAGATCAGCAGTCTCATGTGTCTATAACTAAATATCACCGGCTAAGCTTCTTACAAATCAGACCTAGTTGAAGATAATTACTAGTCCAGAACACAAAAATAACAAACTCAAGAAAAAAGACAGCTCAAAGTCGTACCTAGGTTACCTGGCAGAATGCACTTGGGGCTCCTTCTAACCCTAAGCACACCTGGTGAGCCTTTCGAATCCTGGAGTCTGACAATTCCCACAGCCCTGCTGGATGTTCTGGCTCAGCCGAGCACTTGCCACATCTATCAAAAGCTTCTAATCAGAGTTTAGCCTGATGCACAGCAGCATGGCCTCCCACATGCCACCACCACTGTGACCACTTACGAGACTGGGACACCAGCATGGCCCCACCCAACTCAGCAGCTCCTTCAGATTGGCATAATGACACACTTCAGCCACTGAGGCAGACTTCAGGAAAATGACAACAGAAAAAAACTGAAAACCACAGTATAAAGTCCATTCTTTAGACCTTTACGCTCTAGGAATATACTGATCTGGGCCAATCCTCTCCTCAGCAGAAAACTAGAACCAGGTTGGAGACAATGGTATAGTAGACAGGGCTCATTCACATTCATGGTAAGGATGCTTGGGTCAGGCTCACCAGAGAGCAGAACATCAGACCAGCCCAATCTCAAGCAGTTTTATGTTCTTGTGAAACAAAATCAAGTGGCTACTAGACACAAAATTCAACACACAGATAGGATGGTACAGTAACCCATCTGCAATATTACTACCCCATTCTACAGTGTTCTCACTTCACTGTACCATAGGCCTTACACACACATACTCCTCCAAGTAACTCAATGCGTCAAGCCAACTATAACATTTTGTGGGGACAGAAAGTCCCTAGAGTCTTCCTTATTCCTCTAATTACACAGCTTCTGTGCCAGTCTCACTTGTCACCATCTCTGTGCCACAGCTGCCAGCTGACACCAGTGTGCACAGACAGAACACACAATCTAGGCATCCTGCTCACAGCCACCTCTAGGAAGCAGTTCCAGAAATGCTCTGCCCTATACAGGAGAACAGCAGAGCCCAAACAGCTGGCCTTTGTCTTTACACAAGAGAGTGGGGAGGGGCTGGGGATATAGCTCAGTGGCACAAGCACCTGCCTGGTAAGTGCAAGGTCCTGAGTTCAATCCCTGGTACCACACACACACACACAAAAAGAGAGAGTGGGGATGAGCTGGAAGGCATGTCTCCAGAGGCCACTCACCGTCAGAGCTGTGACAATCTGTGGGCATGCACGCCACAACAAACTCGCTTTCTCTCCTCTCAGTGGGCAGCTCAGTAGCAGCTTGAGCAACCTAACAGCAGACAAAACAGCCTGAAACAAAAAGGGAAATTTTAGCGGCAGAGATAGGCAGCCCTCTTCAGGACCACTCACTGGCGCTGGTAAAAGAGCAGAGCCCTGGAGCCCTGGCACTGCAGACAGGGACAAGGCCAGTCAAGACTAAGTGCTTAGGGCAACTGGCATCTTCACATCAGCACACAATCTGGAGGAACTGAAGAGCCAAGCTCTGGACAGCCAGGCTTTTCAGGAGTGCCTCACGTGTGTGAATGGACCGGCTCAGCACACTCCACAAGGAGTCTAATTCACTGACCCCACCTTGCCAAGATGGCCCTACAGAGGATGCCATCAGCTTCCACAGCAATGATGCTGCTGGCATCACTGAGCAAGAACTGTATGTGCTCATGGACCAAAGGAAGGGCTTGAAAGACACTGGATGAGGTGCTACAGTCACAGGTAATGACTTTAAACCAGAGGGAGGGATGGGTTTGTACTAAGCACCCCATCAACAAACAACTGGCCCCACTTGGAGCATGGATCCCCAACCACCTCTCTTGCTCTCTTCCCATCCAAATGAAAGCCCAGCCCCAGGGTGTCATCTGTGACCAGGAGTTGAAGATACTCATGCCAGTCATAAGAACCCATCTGTAATCCCAGCACACAAGAGGCTGAGGCAGGGGGATCGCTGTGAGTTCAAGGTCAGCCTGGGATACAAAGTAAGTTCAAGTCCAGCCTGAACTACGTAATAAAACTATGACTCAAAAATAATTATTAAAAAAGGACCTTCATAGGGCAGAAAGGACATGAATCAGAATTGGTGGCTGTAGGCAATCCTCACAGCAAGGCCACACTGGTTTTCTCAGGAACTACATTGAAACCATACATGCCCCAGTGGTACTCAGACACTGGCCTGTAGCTGTGTAACCAAATAAAGTACAAGTTTTCAAAGTGTGGTGGATGAGTAACTTTTGTGGGGGTCAATACTGTGACTATACAATACTTAGCATCTCATGTAATTAGAACACATATTTATAAATCCTGCTCCAGGCCAGGATACACACAGCCAGGCTCCTTCAATAGCGCCTATCTTGCCTCTATCCTGCTGGTGTGACTTTAGTTTGAGGGACAACACAGAATCCCAAGAAAAGCATTCCCATGGCAGCAGATGATGTCCAGAGCCTCTACTTGGGGAAAAGAAGATACGCGCCTGCAGGTCTGCCCTCCAAGCACAGCCAACATCCAGTCCCTGGAGCACAGACCGTATCACCAGTGCCAAGTCCTCTGTCGTTCCAGCCTCCAGCATTTGGGCGAAGAGGGCTCCCAAGTCAAGCTCCAAATCCTGAGCTATCTGAGCAGGAACTTCAGGAACTGACAGAAAAGAAACCAAGACTGTTATAATGTAACACGAAGGGACATACAGAAGGGTATGACAAAAGGGCTGCATGTTGAGACAGCGTGCACCACACAGCAACTCAAAAGTGTACCCTGGGACCATACCCTTAAGTGAAATAAATGGGACACACACATTTAAATACTGAATGTTTTCTCTGGTGTAAAAAACTGAAAGGGTAAATAAGGACCACAATGTACAACAGATATTGTGAAACATGAAGAAAATGTTCAAATCCAAAGGGGAACTAGGAAAGGACCAAGAAAAAAATAGAAGGGAAAAGTGGAAACAAACCCTTTGTACATAAGGAAGGAAAGAGGAGTTGAAGGGAGGAGGAGAAAATCTGAAAAAAAGCAGCAGCAAGATATATCACATACAGGTACAAACTCCCTATGATGAGTATGAGTATTACCTTTATGTATATCTAAAATGTACCAATAAAATTATTTTTTTAAAAAAGAGCCAGTATGACCTTAAAAAAAAAAAACAAAAACCCACAACTGCAGACCTTCAGGAACATGTGAAAAAGTGGGGTACATACTTAAGGCAGGTGCCATGTATATGCACACAATCTGTACCTGTGCATGGTGTGTACACACATACTCATGCAATGCACATATGCACACACAGATGACAACCATGCTCAGGAATGGTAAGCTCTGGGCCATACAGACAGGTGATTGTTGGGCTGGGGATTGAACTCAGTGGCACAGCGCCTGCCAGGCAAGCACAAGGTCCTGAGTTATATTCTCAGTACCGGAAAAAAAAAACAAAAAACAAAACAAAACAAAAAACAGACAGGTGATTGCAACTTTGCACTTTTCTATTCCCTTTACAGAATCTAGAGGGGTGCAGAAGTGGAGCAGTATTTTTAAAAAGACAAGAACAATGAAAAAAATCAAAACTATCCTATACTTTTCAGGACTGTCTATAGAATCATCTAGTTGTTTCCCAACACTCCCAGTGCTCTGGACACAGTCTCGTCATAACACCTACAGCCAGGGGATCCAAGGCCGAACACTGAACCCAGTTTACCTTCCACGGTGGTTCATTCTACCCAGAGTACCTTCCACTTCCTGTGAGTGCTCACTATGTACTTTCAAGTATAGACTGAGGGCAGAAGCCAGAAGTTCTGAGAGATAAAGATATAGGACTGAATCTCCCACAAGTGTAAGACCCTGGACTCATGGCCTCTTTTAGTCTCAACTCCATCAGTGAAGGGCCTACAGCACCACTCCTAAGGTTGGCAAACAAGAAAAGACAACAAAGCTTACAGGAAAAGCCTTCTGATGGATGGCTCCCCAATGCCACCTCCACAGCTACGCACACTTGGGGCACACACCTCTCAACCCAATCCCACATCCTGGTTGTTTTCTGGCATCCCATGCCTACTCCTTGCAATCTGTGTGGATGTCTTGTTACTTAACTAGGTCAACTCAGCAGCTCAGTCCTCCAAGCAAGAGATAGTGCTACACAGATGGGCTGTGTTACGAACATTGGCTTCTGTGCCGACAGAGGTGTCTGTCCCACTATCAGAAGGCTTTTTTTTTTTTTTTTGGTTTTTTTCTCCGGTACCGGGAACCAAACTCACGACCTTGCGCTTGCCAGGCAGGCGCTTTTGCCGCTGAGCTAAATCCCCAGCCCCTCAGAAGGCATTCTTCACAGAAGCTCACATTGGCAAGCCAAAACCCACTTCTGCACCATCCAAGATCACAGCAGCCTGCACAGGTCACCTGTGTAGCCACCACTCAGTTCTTCCAGGCTACCTTTTTATGTCCTTTCTCTCCCCAGTGCCTTGGGCTACTCCTCGCTGAGTATGTACTCCAGACAGCCCACCTCTCCAGCACGTCCCTGTACAGAGTCAGATGATTTAAGAGTGAAAGGGAGATAGATTGGGCTATTGGGCTAGGGTAAATCAGACAAGCAACTGGGCAGAATATGTCAAAGATCATAAAAACACACAACTAACAGGTTTGTATTTCCTTTTTTTTTGAGACAGGATCTCGCTATGTAGTTCAGGCTGGCCTTGAACTCACTATGTAGCCCAAGGTGGCCTCAAACTCGCTGTGATCCTCCTTCCTCAGCCTTTCAAGCACTAGGATTACAGATGTGCACCACCAAGCCCAGCTAAAATAACTCCTAAAAAGAGGACATGCAGGGGCTGGGGATTTAGCTCAGCGGCAAAAGCGCCTGACTGGCAAGCGCAAGGTCGTGAGTTCGGTTCCCGGTACCGGAGAAAAACAAACAAACAAAAAAAGAGGACATGCAGAGAACACAGGACCCAAAATGAAATGAGGCTTACAGCTCCTGAATATTTAGACCAATCAGAAAAGTGCTATTTTCAATTCATTTGCATTGTGCACAACTAAGCAACAAAGATGTTGTTTCTAACCTTCATATACATCTGGTAAAACACCAAATTTTTGAATAGGACAGTTTATAACTGGCATGAAGCCAACAGAGTTTTTTGGTTTTGTTTTATTGTTTTTTGAGACAGGATGTTGCCACACAGCCCAAGCTGGCCTGGAACTCCCAAAGATCCTTCTGCTCAGCCTCCTGAATACTGCTATTATGCCACAGCTGGTTAACGCCAGCTTAGTTTTTGATAGGGCAAATGTCCCAATGCCTTACTTGAAAGAAGTCAATCCAAGTAATGTGGATACAAAAGATCCCTTTCCTCTTATCCTTGGAACTGCTATGAGCCTTTTCACCAACCCACTCTCATAGAGCATACCTCTTTTCCACCTTTAATAAATGTGCACCTTTGGTGCCTTTTTCCTTATGTCTTGCTCAGGACACCAAGGACCTGGAAAGAAGCCAAAAGGACCCCATCCAGACAAGAGGAGGGCTGGACCAAGGGATGGGGCAGCATACTGGCCTCCTTGTGGTGAAGGTTCTATCCCTGGGGTCAGAGTCAGGGCTCAAGGACTGCCTCAACACACCAGGGCTGGCCGGGAGGGGTACACAGCACTCTTTAATAAAGGGGCAGAGCCACCAGAACTTCAAACTTCCAACTGCTATTGCAGAAGATGGTCACTTCAAACATGGCACTAGTCTGAATAAGAGACTCAGTTCCAGCCTCCAGTAGGAAAGCAAGCACTACTGCCTGAAAGAGTCACTGACAGGATAAGTCAGAATGTCATTTCTGAGTCTTTCCAGTTCATCCACAACCCAACCAGACAGGAAGGTTGCTGACAGGGAGACAATACAGCCTTGTTCAGGCTACACATTCAGGTCTGGCACTGGTCCAAGTAGAACAGGTGGCATTACTTTCTCGAGGGCCACTAACTTCAGGGCTGCTCTGCGGAAAGTGGAGTTTGGCACATCCTCTGAGGGTCAGGCTTGGCTGGATGACTCCCCAGGGTCTGTCTTGACTATTACTCCAACTCCTCTTAGGGACCTCTAAAACTAAACAGAATGCCCTATGCCAACCATGGTGCATGCTGTCTTAAAACGAAGACATCAGCTCTATTTGGCTTTGTCTCCTTTTGAGGCTAGTAAAAGTATACCCTAATATGGGTAACAGATCTTAATGATCTTTCACTATATTATTAAACATGGTCATTTTTTTTAAAGAGTAAGGCTCTAAACAGACACTCAAAAAATACTGATCTAGCCCAGGCTTAATTTAAATTTAATTAAATCATAGAAAAGAGTATTACAATACGAAAATAGTATAAAATAGCTGGGCATGGTGGCACAAGCCTGTAATCCCGGCACTTGGGAGGCTGAGGCAGGAGGATTGCCACAAGTTCAAGGCTAGCCTGGGCTTCATAGTTCAAGGCCAGCCTGAATTACCAAGCAAGATCCTGTCTATAAAAGAATATATATAAAGAATATTAAAAAAAAAAAAGAATATAGCAACAATTACAATATTTTAATACAATCATTATTTTAATTTCTGCATGTTTCTAGCCCTTATACATATGCACGTATACTTTATTTACTTATAACCATGGCATATTTAACATTTTATACGGTAAGTTGAGCATGGTGGCATACACCTGTAATCCTAGCACTCTAAGAGGCTGAAGCAGGAGGATCACATGGTCAAGCCCAATCTGGGCAAGTTAGTGACTGACCATGACACTGTCTCAAAAGAATAAAATAAAAAGGGGCTGGGGATATAGCTCAGAAGCACAAGCACCTGCCTGGCAAGCACAAGGTCCTGAGTTCGATTCCCGGTGCCAAATAAATAAATAAATAAATAAATAAAAAGGGGTATAGTTCAGTGTGAAGGCCCTGGGTTCAATCCCTAGTAGCACACACACACCCACAGCCACACAAGCACGCACAGAATTTATATTGTGGATTTTGCCTAACACTAACACTTTTTTAGATACTGAATAGTTTTGATAATTGTCATTTCCATAACTGCATAGCTGACCAGAAGAGTCTATTGGAGCTGAGACTCCCCAGAACTGCCCAAGGCTGGGTCAAGCTAAGGCCAGAGTCAGAAGAAAGCAGGCTTTGTTTGAAACAGGACACTCTCCAGAGCAGGAGAGCTCTGAGGAGCCTAGAAACATGTCCAGAGACTGGGGCAGGTACAGCCAGAGAACTGCAAGGATGTGCTCAGGATGCAGACAGGAAAATAGGAAGTCCCGGCACCTAGACTGGAAAGCAAGCTTTCCAATGTCCTGGTGCGCCACCAGGTGTTACACACTAGGCATCACCTTCCTATCCAAAAGGCAAGGCAGGGCAACTTAATGTACCAGCACTGGAGCTCTACTGACCTAAGCCTTGCAGCCCAAAATTAGCTTAGGAAACATCTTACCTGCAAGAACTCTTCTCACAGAGTGAAACACGGAGGTGAACACTGAGCCCTTCTTGGGATGGAGCTCTGGGGCTGAAAAGAACAGAGTTAGGAACCGCAAGGCTGCCTGGAAAGACTGAGCATCCCCTACGAGGGCTGGCAACTCTGACAGCAGCTGAGCATGGACATCCTGGTAGAGGGCCACATGGGAGGGCAGTGTCCTGTCTGTCTCAGCCACTCTGTCCTTGTAGTGCTGACTCAGGTCTACTTCTAAGAGTGCGGTGATGGCTAAGAGGGCAGCTGAGGGCAAGCAGCAGCCCCCAGCCCCTGACATGAAACACAGCCGCAGTGCAGCGCCCATCTGGAGCAAAGCCTGCTGCAGGAGCTCAGGCAGCACTGCGGGTGCCTCCTGTGGCTGCCTTCGCTCTCCGACAAAAGGCCCTAGGACTTGGCACAGTTTGGTTAGGGACACCAAAACCAGCTGGCTGCCCAAAGGAATCTGGTTTTCCAACTGCTTAGTGGAAGCTGCCTTGGTGTACAATTTGCACCTTGAGAGGAAGGCAGTGATTTTCCCAAAATTGAGCACCAAACTCAGCTTTAACTGGATAAGCATCTGCATCAGCTGCTCCAAAAATGTCCCTACCACTTGGAGGAGATGCAGCCACATGGGATCATCTACCTCAATAGGAAGTCTGCTTGCATGTAAATTAGGAAGCAATATGAGGATCCCAGCTCCATCATTGCAATAATGCAGTACCACAAAGGTACCTATAACATATATCCACCTCAATAGGAAGTCTGCTACTGACTTGCAGCAATGATGTCAGCACAATCTCAAATACATCACTAACATACAGGACCCTGAATACAGAGCGGGCACTCCTTCCCCTCTGAAGACAGCCGAGAAGCCGGTAGCATGTCACCAAGAACTGTAGGTCCAAGGAGGAACAGGAGTACCCCACTGTGGTAACAGCCATGGACAACAACAACAGAAAATAATGGACATGGTAGGGTGCTAACAGGCTGTCCAGGTGTAGAGTAGAAATGATTTGCAAAAGCCTCAGGAGGCTTTCCAGCTGTTCTTCCTCCAAATGGATGAGGAAGTCACTCTTGACCAGGGAGAGTAAGCTCTGGGCAATTTCTCCTCTTGGTTCTACACCCTCAGGTCCAGCTTTTGCAAACCTAGTTTCCCAATGAGCCATAACTGTGTCATCCTTCCCAAAGAGCCAAGGTAACTGTTGACTGAGAAGACCCTGGTCACCAGAGCATAGAATGCTAGAACATCTTGCAACTAAGCACATCAGGAAGGCAGAATGGAGGGACTGCATCTCTGGAAAGAGAGGGCTATGAAGGAGAGCTGTGGATATCTTCTCAAGTGTGATACACGCCTCTTCATCTGCTGAGCCTTCCTGGGCTTGGCTTGTTGATAAAGTTCTTAACAGGATACTAGCCATATACCTTACATCTTCCAGACACAGGTACGGTATTAAAATTGGGAGATTAGACACAATCAAGTGCCAGTGTGCTATAGGGTATGTGGATGCACACACTGTCCCCACTTGCCCATCCCAGGAAGCCATTGTCTTCTGACTCAGACTGTCTCTGGCAGAACCAAGGATGTAGGCAGCATCATACTGCAAAGTACAGAGGACTTCCTCAGACAGAGGACTAGCCTGTAGTAAAGTCCTTTTCATCTTCTGCAAGTAGAGCTGTTTTAAACAATACTGACTAAGAGAGTTGGACTGAGCTATAATCTTCTCGACCTTCTTCCAATGCTGTGCTTCCAAACCTAGGAGCAATGAAGGAAGGTTTGAGACCTTCAGAGCACCCTTGATCAGGTCCTCAGCCACAGAGTGATATTGGCCACAGTTCAAACTGAGCATGGCGTCCACCTCCACCCAGGTGTAAGAGAGTAGAAGTGCAGAATCACTCACCTTCTGCATCCACAGCTCAGGTTCTGGGCCTGGGGAGCCACAGAGAAGGGCCAGCAAGGGCTTCACAAGTTTGCCCAGCATCCTCTCCATTACACACTGCATCCGCCTGACGATGGGCAAGGGTGTGTTGCTGTCTAGACTCCGCATGTTGAACATGATGCAGTGCAGCAGTGAACTCAGGGAGCAAGACTTCAGAGCCATGTCAACATCACTCTCCAAGTAGGGCAGGACTACAGACTGGAACTTCTCCAGTACAAGGGCCCATGTGTCCAGGATCTGATTCGGTGGCAGCTCCAGAAGGCAGGCACAGAGCACTGTGGAGGGGCCTGAAGTCAGCACAGGCTGCCTCAGTGTCTCAGCAGCTGGACGGCATATCACCCCCAAAACTTCCTCAAATAACTGTGGCACCTGTCGGAGTTTTGCATACGTCTGAAAAAGGGTGTCAATAAGCACCTCCTGGGCTTTCTTGGCTCGAAACTCTGTTACTTCTGCATCGATCCAAGCTGAAGACAACAGGTCATCCAGGTCTGGCTCCAGAATCAAATGATTTAAAGATATCAAAATCTTGAGGCAGCGGAACCAGGCTGGCACGGGTGCCTGAGAGTGGTTTATCAGCAGCTCTGCCAATCGCCGGTAGAAGCGGAACTGTGCCTCCTCATGCCGGATCCTATCAGCAGCCACATTGTAGATATTGTTGCTGGCCACGAGGTTTAGCAGCTGCTCTACAACCAGGAGTTCTGTGGTCCACTCTGATGTGGACAGGTCTCTCAGCTGCTCCTCCGGCAGGCGTAAAATTCGCAGGCAGCCAAACAGCCTGGGGAGAGCCTGGAAGCAGAGAAACTGGTTTCCCTCTTTGAGGTAAGAGTCCAGAAAGAGCTTATACAGCAGGGCCACTGAGCTGGTCACCACAGAGGCATGAAGGTGTGGTTCGCAGAAATCAGCACCCATCAGTCTGGTAATCACAGTGTCCAGAGGAGCAAGAAGATTCTTCATGGCTCCCATCTTTGAGTCACTTTGCTGCTGGTCCAAGAGCTCTTCTTCATAGGATGAAAGCAGATCCGGCCGAAAAAGTCCACCTTGGAGCATGGCCTCAATCTGACTCCTGACATCCCGGCTTAACACCTGCCGCATCCGGGCCTGTATCCATGTACCCCCAGAGAGCAAGTGCCTCAGGACCAGGCAAGGCTGCAGCAGGTGCCCAGTCACATCCACAAAGACACGTCGGGGGTTGCCTTGCTGTTGCTGTATTGAGAGGTAATGGCTAAGGGCCAGGTGAATGACCTCAAATAGCTGAGCTGTCACTGCGTTTTCTGGCTGCCTGCAGGCTGACCAGCAAAGGTGACTCAGCAAGGCCACCAACAGCTCCTGTTTGGCCAGGTAGATGACAACAAGGGCAGGTGTTGAGAGAATGCCCTGGCAGCAGTTCAGGACAGCGCACATGTTTTTTTGGCATCCAGAGAGAGAGAATTCAGATATTCTCTCATTTATCATCTAAGTGTTAGGAAAAAAAAGAAAACTCAATTATTACACCAAACCCGCATATATACAACAACTACTACAGAATCAATCGACTTGCTCCTCTCCTTCATTATGAGAAATGCCCAGATTATTATAGCTACATGGTGTGTAGTGCATTAAAAGTGCCTGTTTTTAATTCCTTCACACAACTGTCTCCTGCTAATATCAATTCTGAAAAGAATTAGTGCCTTTGTAAATTTGATACTCATTTTTAAAATGCCAGGGTTTACCAGCACTTGGGAGGCTGAGGCAGGAGGATCACTGAAGTTCAAAACCAGCCTGGGTTACACAGTGAGATCCTATCTCAAAAAAAAGTGGGTGGGGGGAGGAGGTGGAGGAGGAAGAAGAAGAGGAGGAAGAGGGAGAGGAGGGAGAGGAGGAGGAAGAAGAGGAAGAAGAGGAAGAAGAGGAAGAAGAGGAAGAAGAGGAGGAGGAGGAAGAGGAAGAGGGAAAGGAAAGGAAAGGAAAGGAAAGGAAAGGAAAGGAAAGGAAAGGAAAAGAAAAGAAAAGAAAAGAAAAGAAAAGAAAAGAAAAGAAAAGAAAAGAAAAGAAAAGAAAAGGAATAAAATAAGAAAAGAAAAAAAAAAGCCAGGTTTTACAAGGCTTAAACCTATAACCAAGCTCAGGTGCTATCAGATGGGGAGGCAGTGGCACTTGGGTCATGACTCTGAGGTCCAACATTTTTTAAGAGAAAAAGTATAGTCAAACATACTTTTTCTATTAAAAAAGCACACTCTATAAAAAGGAAAGCAAATGTTGCTAGTTACTTATTACACAGCAGACCCACTGTCTTCTGCTCTCAAAGTTCCAAAATTTACAGACACTAAAAGTGAGAGCCAGGCATATTCCTAAAATTCACTGGTTTAGAGTGACTTGCCCCCAGCTTTATGGCATCTGAGAATAGAAACTAGCCCAGGGGGGCTGGGGATTTAGCTCAGCGGCACAGCACCTGCCTGGCAAGCGCAAGGTCATGAGTTCAATTCCCAGTACCAGAAAAAAAAAACAAAAACAAAACAGAAACTAGCCCAGGATGCTAAGCCCAATGAGACAGGCATTGTTTTTCCCACTGAATTAAGTGCTGGCTAGGATCTTCAAAGTCACAGCGGAAACTGCAGCAAACATACAAGTCCTTGGATGTCAATGTACCACCAGTAGGCTCCAGATTTTTCACTATATTGCATATATAAAAATCCTTTCCATATTTACACCAAAAACTGTAATTTATTTACAACTATTTACATACGCTATAGTTCTACGCAATTATAAACACACAAAAATAAAAATTTAGAAAGTTTGATCACTTAAACAGAGATGTATCTTCCTCCTACACCTTGAAGGATTATTCAGAGTTCTTGAGAACCATCTGCAAATCACCTCTCTGTCCTCCTCTGCCCATCCATGAAGTCAGCCCTGTGGTGTGACAGCCAGGCTTTAGACCTAGGCACATCTCAGTTCAAATCCAACTCTACCACCCACTATTCATGTGACTGCAAACAAGTTACTTAATCTATTTGGCTTGTCACATACCACATGCTTGTTAGTATAGCAGTAGTTTTTATTGCAATTAGCTGTTTTCATGGTATTTCAAAATACTGCTTTGAAAATGAAGTTCAGTTAGGCATGGTGGTACATGCCTACCACTTATGAGGCTAAAGCAGGAGGATCACCATGAGTTTGACACCATTTCATCAAAGGTGTTTGACTGAAAGTGATTCTGAAATCTCTTAAGTCAGATTAGAAGTATGAAATTTATAAATTTCATACTTCTAATAATAAATAAATTTCATACTTCTAATCTGACTTAAGAGATTTCAGAATCACTTTCAGTCAAACACCTTTGATGAAATTTCTATTAGGTCGCCTTTTGATCTTCCTCCAGACCAAATGAAAGCCTGGACCAAAAAAAAAAAAAAAAAAAAAAATCAGCATTGCATAAATTGCTTTTCCATTTAAAGAGGTAATCAAACTTGTGGCACATGCCTGTAATCTCAGCTACTCAGGAGGCGAAGGCAGGAGGATCAAGAGTTTGAGGCCAACCTGGAAAACTTCATAAGACCCTGTCTCAAAATGAAATAAAATAAAAAGGGCTGGAAATATAGTTCAGCGGTAGAATGTTTACCTAGGTATATGCAATCTCCAGTGCCAAAAACAATAAAAAGGGTAATCAAAATTTGTTCATGAAACAGTTTAAGCTTTCAATAGTAATGTGCCAGGTGTGGTGTGCAAGCCTATAATTCCAACAATTGTGAGGCGAAGGCAGGAGATCGCCACAAGCTTGAGGCCAGCTTTTACCTTTTTTAATTAGTTTATGTTTTTTGTGGTTTTTTTTTGTTTTGGTTTTGGTCTTTCTCCGGTACCAGGAACCGAACTCACGACCTTGCGCTTGCCAGTCAAGCGCTTTTGCCGCTGAGCTAAATCCCCAGCCCCAATTAGTTCATGTTTGCGATACAAAAGGAATAGGTTCATCATGGGGAGTTAGTACAAGTATATACTGCACTTGTGTCAAAAGGTAAACATTTTAAATTGATTCAGGACAAGGCAACTACAACAACAGCACAACTCGTAAGATAATTATGAAAGAGAACTTTCAGAAATGCTTCAGACAGTGGCAAGAATGATAGGATAAACATGTTCAAAATGAGGGGGAATATTTTGTAAGGAATTAATGGTAATATGTCTTATGATGTAACACTTTTTTTTTTTTTTTGGTACTGGGCATCGAACTTGGGACTTTGTACTTGCCAAGCAAGGTGTTGTGCTGCTGAGCTATATCCCCAGCCCTTTAATACATTTTTAAATTTAAAATAGGGCGTGGTGGGGCACGCCTGTAATCCCAACATTCAGGAAGTTGAGGTAGGAGTATCATTGTGTGTTGGAGACCAGACTGAGCTACAAAGTGAGCTCAAGGCCAGCCTGAACTCCATAGCAAGACCTTGTCTCAAAAAGACCAAAAGAAAAAAAAATTTAAACATTTATTGCATTTTTTGGTCCCATCTTGTTCTTTCAGTTAATACCACTTGTAATTCTGATTAACACTACTACTTCCTTTTCCTCCCTACCTCGGTATTTCCTGCATCTCTATACAATTGACCCTAAAAAAAGGCTCCAACAAGCAACAGGAAACTAACAGAGACACATGTAACACACAGGACAACAGAAGAGGCTGTCAATTACCTTGACAAGAGAAATCTGAAGGTTAATTGTCTTTCCGTTCTTGAGGAGATTCTGCAATTTTCTGCTATGTAGAATGTTATCTACATAGATCCAAAGCCTTTCAACAACATCTTCCTTCAGTTCAAGTTTTTTCTTATAAAATGTAACCAATGACTGTCTTGCCCAATCAAGTAAAACCTGAATTTGGAGGAAATACACTCTGAAAATAATTTTTTTACAAGTGAGAATGATGCTGGACATTTTAGGGACACCCAATCATGACCAAATCCAACTACAATGGAAGAAAAAACTCCTTTAAAACTCACCTGTTGTAGTACTATATTTCATAAATGTTCTGGTATCTTCAAATGTTTGTTATTAAAGAATAAAAAGGGGGCCAGGCATGGTGGCACACACCTATAATCCCAGTGGTGGCACACTCCTGAAGCAGGAGGATTGTTGTGAGTTCGAGGCCAGCCTACCAGCATGAACAGCATAGTGAAACCCTGTTTCAGAAAGACCAAAAAAAAAAAAAAAAAAAAAAGCTGCTGCCCAGAATTACCACAGAATAAATCACAAAAACAAAGCAAAAAGGCTGTGTGAGCTGTGTATGGGCAATCTCATGTTACCAGCAGTTGTATCTCACCTAGTAGACAGAGTCTTGTGAAGAGATACATGAGTGCTTTGTGAGCAGGAGGCTATACCTGTGAGGTTTCCATTACTGTGACCTGCTTCCTCATACACAAAATATGGAAGAAAGGAGAGAGGCCTCAGCTCTCATACCAGAACTGCTAGTAATAATATGAAGAGTGCTAGATGCTAGAAGGAAAGAACTCTCAGGATAAGAACAGCATACATCTTGGTTAAACTGCCTACCCATTCTATCTCACGCTGTATAGCGATGTATAAGGGACTACCAAGCTGCCAGAATGATTCCCATGTGCAGCTAAGTGTGGGCACTACTAAAGCAATAGCTGCTCTACATACTATCACTCATCATTAATTTAACAAGTATAATCCATCTTTGACACTTTTTTGGGAAACAGGGTCTCACTACATAGTGCAGGCTGGCCTCCAACTCACAGTAATCCTCCTGCCTCAGCCTCCCAAGTAATGGGATTACAGGCAAGCATCACCATGCCCCCAACCATCTTTGATGCATTTTGTCCTGCCATCTTTAATACCAGCATCAGGAAGTATGTGATCCAATTCCATTAACTTATCCTCATGTTTATTGCATTAACTATTTTTTTTTAACCTAATAATCTTGAGAAATACTCAAGAGTTATATCCTTTTTGGTACCAACTATTTCTAGAATGACTTAACACAAATACACATCTCTACTTCCCAGCCTTCAACCTATCAAACTAAAAGATCTGGCTCACTACTTTTCTCACTGACATTACTTTTTAAAATCCGTCCGATGACACTTCCTCCCCAACCCTTTTTGAATCTTCAAGTAAATGTCAATACGCAATTTGAACAGGTGATTATTCTAAATTACAAAAATGTAAGTCATACATTAAACTTACTTGTTCTTTATTTGGAAGAAAGCACTGGTGGGAAATCCAAGCAAAGTGAGCTAGTTTTAATTTATCTTCCCAGGAAGTTGTCTTGCTTTTAAGCTTCAGGGAAATGCCAGAATAAACAGCAGCCATTGCTACCCTTTATCTACAATTAAAAACAAGGGAGAACAATATAATAAGTTCAAACTGAACAGACACCAGAAAATGAAGGGTCTTACTGTTTACAATTTTTTTAGGTCAATGAATTAAAATACCTCAACAAAATTATTGGGTACAGGTCTGTAGTGAGACCCCTGGCTCATGAATTTTCTGGGGTAAATTCAGAGAAAATACAGGTGTGGTGGTAACGGCCTATAATCCCCAACATTCAAGAGTCTGGGCCAGGAAGATCACTACATGTTCAAGGCCAACCTGGTCTACAGAGCAAGAGCCTGCTTCAAAAATAATGGTAATAATAATAATAATAATAATTTAAAAAGTAAAATAAATTCAGACAAAATAAATTCAGACAAAAACAGAAGACAGACTACAAGCATTCCAGCTGTGATTATACATCCCATCTACAGAGGTGAGTGTTCAAGAATCCAACAAGGCAAAATCAGTGTTCAGAGCCAGGCCCACTGGGAATAATCTTAGCAGTCCCAGAAGCTAAGGCAGGAGGATCCCCAAGTCTGAGACCAGCCTGGGCAATTTAGCAAAACCTTGTCTCAATTTGAAAAAAAAAAAGAAAGAAAGAAAACTAAGAATGTAGCTAGCACTCAGTTTAATTCCCAGTACCAACACACACAAAAATAAATAAATAAAATAAAAACAGATGACTCGTGGAAAGAGTCACTACACATAGTTTAAGATTTAAAAAGAGCCGGGCGTGGTGGCGCACGCCTGTAATCCTAGCACTTGGGAGGCTGAGACAGGAGGATCATCGGGAGTTCAAGACCAGCCTGGCCTACAAAGTGAGCTCAAGGCCAGCCTAAACTGCATAGTGAGACCCTATCTCAAAAAAGACAAAAAAAAATTTAAAATTTAACACAAATTTACATTTAAAATGTGACATTTCTGTACATATCTTCTAAAGCATATTATGAGCTGGGCATGAGTGGCAAACACCTGTAATCCCAGTACTGGGGAAGGCTGAGGCAGGGTGATCACTGTCAACTGGAAGCCAATCTGGGCTATACAATGAGTTCAGAGCCAGCCTGAACTACAGTGATTTTTTTTTTACTCAACACAAATACCCATCTCTACTTCCCAGCCTTCAACCTATCAAACTAAAAGATCTGGCTCACTACTTTTCTCACTGACATTACTTTTTAAAATCCGATGACACTTCCTCCCCAGCCCTTTTCGAAACTTCAAGTAAATGTCAATATGCAATTTCAACAGGTGATTATTCTAAATTATAAAAATGTAACCTGTCTCAAAAAAATATTATGTATCACGTATTAGGCCTAGCTTTATCAAACAGCTGAAAGAAATGAAAAATGCAATTCAATAATCAGACAAAGTAATGTTTAACTGAACCCCAATAGAACTGTTGCTATTTCTGCTGCAACAGTAACTTCCCGCTGTAACTTTATCTTATTCAGACAAGTACAAATTTACCACAAACACTGCTGTCCAAAAGATTATCAAAAGTATGTAACTTAAAAGGCTGTTGCCGGGTGTGGTTGTGCACGCCCATAATCCCAGCACCCGGGAGGCTGAAACTGGAAGATCAAAGTGAATTCGAGGCTAACTTGGGCTACATAGTTCAAGGCCAGCCCAACATATCTCAAAAAAAAAATGGCCATTAAAAAAAAAAGTAAAAGCTGGGCGTGGTGGTTCACGCCCATAATCCTAGCACATGGGAGGCTGAGGCAGGGGAATTGCCGTGAGTGTAAAGCCTGCCTCAACTACATAATGAGACCCTGTCTCAAAACAAACAAACAAACAAAAAAAACCCACGACACACCTACAGTTCCCGTAAACCAAGACAAACAAAAGCTCTAGGTTTCTTAGAAGTCTAAATAAAAACACTGAAAGGTTTTCGTTACAGAAAAATTAAAATGTCAGTGCAAGACAAAAAATCATTCATGATACTCAATACAAAAATAAAGTCAGTGCGAATGAAAACAAAATAGAATGCAAGAACTGAGGAGATGTCTCGTGATTGTCGATTCCGTCAATCCAAAAGAATGCGCAGTCCTGAGGGCTGTATCACCTGCTTTCAGACTTTACTTTCAGGCCCCAGCTGCCGGAGAAATGCGTGCATCCCAGAAGAATCCCTCACTCTCACGAAGCTCTCGAAATGCCGCTAGCGCACCCAGTGAACCCCGACTCAGCGCGCAGGCTCGGGGGGGCACGCAGCCCCCCACGCAGCCCAGCGCAGGACAAGGGTCCCTCAAGCAGCCCACGAGCCCGGGGCCCAGTCGCCACGGCCAGCGCACTGACTGCCCGCCCGCGCAGAAGCACCCACAGAGCGCGAGAGGGACAACCGCAGCCCCGGCCCGGGTGAGGCAGCGGGACTAGGTCCGCGTGGGGGCTCAGCACGGGTGGGGCCTTGGCCTAGGTGGAGGTTCAACCCAGGTGAGGCCTCAACGTGGGTGGAAGTTCGTGTCGGGTGAGGATACACCCCAGGTGGGGACTCTGTGGAGTGGGCACAGCCTGGTTGGAGGTTCCGCGCGGGAACTGACCGGAGAACCAGCAGTCAACTGAGACCACTCGCGCAAGGGCGCTCACCTGGGTGCTCCTCCGCTCAGCGCCGCACGCGGGAGCAGGCGCTTCCGGCCGACGCCGATGCGCGGGGCGGGGCGGGGCAGGC